CTTCCCCCTCTTTTTTCCTTCATTTTGTTTTTTCTTAAAAACGTCTGACAAGAGCAATGGGTAGGATAAAAATATAATCACTATGATTGAAACAGTGCCATGCGCTGTTGGTAGCCAGTGGAGGTTTAATAAACTACACTCTAACTCTAACGCATTTAAATGAGGTGCCAAAACCAATAAACGGGTAATGACAGAACCCGCTACTGTACCGCAGTTCGCGTTTCGTTCTTTCTGAGCTGTCTTTTGGTTATTTCTATGACTGGAGTAAACTGTTTCATTTTTCAGAATGCTTTCCTCTGACACCACAAGCTGCATCCAGATCATTCCTGGACAGCCACTGGCAGACGGGACTTCACAAGTAACGATAAAAGACTGTTTCCCTTCCGTTCTTCGGTCCAATGATGCTGTTCTTTAAAATCTATCAAGAACACTCATCACTATTGGCAATGGCGATTTATAACATAATTATGACATCTGTTGGTACTTATTTCATATACATAAAGGAAGGTAACAGCCTCGTCTTCGTTTTGCACTTATAACTACCGGTGTTGTTTTTTTAAGACGTACTTTTGACCTGTGAAATTGCTACCCATCCATTCTGCAAGTTTTAGTTTTATAGTGCGGTCAAAAATTCGTGGCTGAACTTATTGTCAAATTTCTCGATAACTGTTGAGCATAGATTAGCCAACTATTGCACAATGACTCATATCAATTCGTCTTAACAGATGAATACTTTTTTAAACACATCCACACTGTATTCTAGAACAATTCCTTAATAAATACATGTACTAATAAAAATCCCAGTAGATGGTTTCTACAGATTCTTAAAAGTTTACAGCCGAGGCAATTATAACGCTTTTAAAAGCAAGGTTCTAATTTTTTTTCTAATCCCGACATTATGCTTTTATTGAAAGCATGTTTTGAGAAACTTTAGTGTAATAAATGTGTTTACTACAAAATTAATTTCTTGTAACAAGTTTTGCAACAAAATAGTGTCTTTGATGAGCTGTGACGTAGGCCATAATGCGTATGCAAAACGTATGTGAGAAGGGGGAAGCACTGTGAACAATCCCATATTCTGCGTGAAGGAGACTTGTAGTATTTTATATAAATTCATGAAGAAAAGTTTTTTAAATCTAGCCTCAAATGTTGTGGAAAAATATGATTAAGTTAGGACAAATTGATACAAACTGCTGTTCAAAGTATGGGTGACGGTTATTCATCCGTTTAAGAGATATTTGAGGATAAGTTGCGTCACGAATTTTTGACCACACTATAGTAAGATTTTTATGGCACTTGCAGCACAAATGGGTCATTGTTATATAATCCATTCCAAAATCCGTACTCTCTTTTAGCAGGCTCTTAAACACGCCAGTAGGGAATAAAGGTAACATAAAACGGGTAGTAATAAAGATAAGGATGTTTGACGGTTTAGTGCAAAGGTTAGGCAAACCTGTATCACATACGTTTTCATATTTTTCAATATTTTGGCTACCACGGAGAGGGTGGTTTGGGAATTAATAGGCAATGCATTTTCGAAGTCAAATGGTTTTCTCTAAAGTGTGTGTGGGCTTAAAGTATAGTGTACTTTATTTATTATGCATGTGATTGTGAGCCAGTTTGTGAATGAAAGCATACTATTGTATTATTATGGTTATTTGCACAGATGTGGACAGACGTCTCATGGGGCTCATCTACTGAATTCTGCACCCTGGCCCTTGAGACCAAAGACGTTCTTAAGAGCACTTTATCATTATTTCCGTACGTTGTGCGAAACTTACGAAACGAGTTGGTGGTGAGGAAATGTTCAATACAAAAAGCTCTCTGCACTTTATTAATCTTAAACATGATCTCAGCAGGCAAAGGAAACTTGAATAAAACTATCTGCAAACTTCTGTTGGCCTGTTTGACAATTGTAGTTTGAAATGAGGCGCAATCGTTGTGATTTTTAGTAGTAAGCCTAATGTAAACGAGTGTGTCATGAGATAAAAATCGGAACGTAGCTGAAAATGGTTCGTTATTTAAAGCGCTATGTAGAGAAAAACTATTTTGTGGATGTATCTAAAATGAATATCAGACAAATTCCTTTTGACTTCCAATTGTTGTGTACAAATCTGAAACGCAAAACTTCAGTGTGGAGGAAAATATTAACAAAAACAGTTGTACGGGTTCTTTTTGGGATCACCCTAT